AGGTTTGAACCGCTGAACTGCTGATCTAGCAGTAGCCTGCAGTGCTGCATTTAACCACTGCGCCACCTCGGCTCTAACAAGTATTTGCAATGGCACAAATGTACAGTAACGCACCTATTTTAGCTTTGCATTTGCCAGGTATTAAAATAAACCTCTTTTCTTCTCAGAGTTTCTTTAGAAGATCTATATAATGGGAAAACGACCAAACTACAACTTAGCAAGAATGTCCTTTGCAGTTCATGTAATGGGTGAGTTTTCTTTTATTCATTTGTCTTTGGAAATTCCTTTGTGCAAAGAAATAAGCCCATAAAAACAATGCACACCCATCTAGAATGCAGCTGTTTGTATAATGGGTTTATTTTTTTCCCCACAGCCGGAGTAGCTGCCTAATATTTGCGCCTCCACTCTTTCAGTGGCCCCCTCTTAAATCTTTCCATCTGGCACTTATTAGCTTCTTGATGCTTCCATGCCATTCGTTGGGGACCCCCCCCCCCAAAAAAAAAAATCACGGCGTTTTCTTTCTCTCTCTTTTGACATGGATCCAGTCAAGGGGGTAAATCTGGAGCAGTTCAGAAATGTACAGCTTGCCGAGGCCGAGGCATGCGGATTATGATCAGACAGCTGGCTCCTGGGATGGTTCAGCAAATGCAGTCGGTCTGTTCCGATTGCAATGGAGAAGGTAATCCAACCGGTTCTTCCGCAAGAAAGGAGGGGGAGGCCAAAGCATTCAGGCAGGCTCTGTCCCATCGTTACCAAATAAATGCCAGTTAATGTTCAGTGTTCTGACCTGGGCTTCCCAAGATCGTGAAGCCGACTCCTCGTCCCGATAAGACCTCTTGTATTTAGGTTAAAGGGAATTCCTCTCCAGCAAAGTCCCAGCCAACAGTCTTTCGTGAGATTTCACCACTACAGACCTTTTATCAGGCTTGGAGAGCTGCCAGGCCGATATCTTCCAAACGCCAAGCTGTAGCAGCAATTACTTGGCAAGAAGTCAGGGACACCCTAAGGAATTGAACTAATTGTCTCCTGCAAACTCCACTCCCCTTTCGCTCTTCTTTATTCCCCCATGGGAGGGGCCATTCACCGTCCACCTGTGCCTTTATTCCCGAGTTGACCTCTGTTCTTTAGCTGTTTCCTTTGTCTGGCAACTCTGTGATTGCACACACTGGGAACAGGCTTCAGCTGTTCTTCTGCCCCACTAATGTCCAACTCCGAAGGCAGCTGATAACTGTCAGATGGTTCTGGCCCCATCTCTGCCTCCGACGCAGAGCCTTCCCCAGACTCCAGGACTGGCCCATGTTCCTCCCCAACCTCCTCACTGTCTGAGTCTGCCACCAGCTCTGCTGGCCGCTGGCGGGCCACAACAAGGCTTCCTGTCTTCTAGTCTTTCTAGGAAGGCTGAGATTTTGGAACCCTGATTTTCCTGATGTACCACCATTCATTGGCCCCAAACACCAAGGACAATGTGGATAGACTTGTTCTTCAGTACCATATTGACGGCCATGGGTTCTTCATTCTCTATCAAAACGCCATTCCTCTTCGACCAGCGGCAGATAGAAATAGCAGCCCAAAGATAGAAACTTAAGAATAAAATTAATAGCTTAAAACATATTTATGTCTGCTTGAAGAAGGAACCAGAAGCTTCCTTAAATCTGGGGAAAGAAAGAAAGTTGTTTTGGATAGTGAGATGGGCAGAATATTGAATGAATGAATGAGAAAATACATACAGTACATACCTACAGAAAATACAGAATAGCCATTGCTGATCTGAGAATTTGGGTCTTTGTAGCTTGAGTTTTCCTACCTCTTGGAACAAGGTGCAAACATGTTGTCTCTCTTTAGGAGAAGTCATCAACGAAAAAGACCGCTGTAAAAAATGTGAAGGGAAGAAGGTGATAAAAGAAGTAAAGATCCTTGAAGTCCACGTAGACAAAGGCATGAAGCATGGGCAGAGAATCACCTTTACCGGAGAAGCTGATCAAGCCCCCGGCGTGGAGCCAGGAGACATTGTTCTCCTGCTCCAAGAAAAGGAGCACGAGGTAAGGATGGCTTGAATTGCCGAAAGAACATTGGCTCCATGGCACTGGGGCATTTTGAATGGTAATGTTTGGGATGGTGAAACTTCATTAAATGTGCACCAGTCCTGGCAGCACAGTGGTTAAAGTGCAGTATTGCAAGCTAACTGCCCACAGCCTGGAGTTCGATCCTAACTGGCTCAAGATTGACTCGACCTTCCATCCTTCCAAAGTCGGTAAAATGAGGACCCAGTAATGCAAATAATGCTTCTACATTGCAAACTGCCCAAAAAGTGATGTAGAGTGCTATAGAGCGGTATTTAAGAAGCCTAAATGCAGTTGCTGTTGCTGTGGTTATTGTGGTGCCATTTGCAATAGGATTGCCTGAACCTTTCTGTTAGATATTTGGGTATCAGGACAAGATAATATTTGCAGCTCCAGGTTTGAACTGAGGAGTCCTTGTTGCTCTCTGAGCTTGGTAACATCTGCAGAGCCCTGGTGGCACAGCGGTTAGAATGCAGCGTTGCAGGCAAACTCTGCCCACAGCCTGGAGTTCGATCCTGAGTGGCTCAAGGTTGACTCAGCCTTCCATCCTTCCGAGGGAGGTCAGTAAAATGAGGACCCAGATTATTGGGGCTGACTCCGTCAACCTCCCAGAGAATGCTGTAAAACAGTGTGGGGCAGTATATACCGTATTTTTCGGAGTATAAACCTTTTTCTCTTAAAAAAGAGGGTGAAAATCTGGGTGCGTCTTATACACTGAATACAGCATTTTTTGCCTCCCAAAACCCCACCCCTTCACCAAAATGGCCGTGCAGAGCCTTTAGGAGGCTACCAGAAAGCTCCTGGAGGCTGGGGAGGGCAGAAATGAGCGGAAAACGGGACATTTTTTGCCTAAAGGCTATGCATGCCCTTTTTTGACGAAAAACGAGCCATTTTTGGGAGGTCTGCAGAGTTCCAAAAATTTCGTTTTTTTTTAATTTGCCTCTTCAAAATCTTGGTGCATCTTATACTCTGAAAAATACGGTAAGTCTACATTCTATTGCTGTTGATAAATGACAGTTTATATAAAAGACGTTCGATTTGGAAAAGGGTGGCAATAGTGTGCAGTCCACTTGGGAGAAAGGCTTGAATCCAGTATGGTCCCTGAAGATGGCCAGCTTCTGTAGGAAACCCTCGCGTGCCAAATGGCGAGAGCAAACACCCAAGAGCCGAGGTGGCGCAGTGGTTAGGGTGCAGTACTGCGGGCCACTTCAGCTGACTGTTATCTGCAGTTCAGCGGTTCTAATCTCACCGGCTCAAGGTTGACTCAGCCTTCCATCCTTCCGAGGTGGGTAAAATGAGGACCTGGATTGTTGGGGGCGATATGCTGACTCTGTAAACTGCTTAGAGAGGGCTGAAAGCCCTATGAAGCAGTATATAAGTCTAACTGCTATTGCTATTCTCCCTCTTTCTCCCAGATGTTCCAGAGAGATGGAAATGATCTGCATATGACACACAAGATTGGGCTTGTCGAAGCCCTGTGTGGCTTTCAGTTCACATTTAAGCACCTCGATGCACGTCAGATTGTGGTGAAATATCCCCCAGGAAAAGTAATTGAGCCAGGTAAAAACTTGCACACTGAAAGTTCTCCCACCTTCCATGTTTTTTTTTAATGTTTTTTGCCTAGAGATAAACGACACGCTGCCCTTCATTGACAGTGTTCCATTTTTTTGTTTGTTACTTTTTAAACTCTAGGTTCCGTCCGGGTAGTTCGAGGGGAGGGCATGCCACAATATCGCAACCCTTTTGAAAAGGGTGATCTTTATATAAAGTTTGATGTGCAGTTTCCTGAAAACAACTGGATTAGCCCAGAAAAGCTTACAGTAAGTACGCATAGCAGTCTGGTAAAATATTCCCTTCTCCGAGAGCACGTGAAAAATCCTAAACTCTTCACACCTCCTCTCTCTCCTTGCAATTAAACCTTAAAATAAGCGTAAGATTATTCAAGGGAAGCGTCTGCTCCCAAATACAGGAAAACCACATGATCTGGCCCACTCCATATCATTGTTCCGCCTTCTCCAGAAATCTTGAGGGTGTAGGGCAGGCAACCACACCATGATATTGGAGCAAAAGGCAAGTTATATTGAAAAATCAAATAACCATAAACATTTGCGGGGGGCATAAATAGAATGACAACTCCATGCAAACACTTTTCTTGCCATATCCTCAGGCCAACACATAGTTGAGCAGCTGATTCTCACAGTGCTTTCTAATGTCTACATGTATTTACCCATGCAATATGGCTGTAGTAGTATTTCTTAAAACACATTTATCTTTCTTACTCCTCCCTCTTTTTAAGTTTTTTATTTTTATTCTCTTATACATAAGTTACATGTATACATTCACGTAGTTATTGTTCTTAATTATGTTTATCACTTTCATATTTGTTTTTCCATATAAAAAGTTAAAATATGCATTCTGGGTTGCTATGCTTACCATCCCATATACCTATACCTAAGAGCCGAGGTGGCGCAGTGGTTAAATGCAGCACTGCAGGCTACTGCTAGATCAGCAGTTCAGCAGTTCAAATCCCACCGGCTCAGGGTTGACTCNAGGGTTCGAATCTCCACGGGTTCTAGGTTTGTGAGAAGGATTGCCCCTTTAGAAGGGGTTGCCTCAAATGTTTGGTCTAACCATCCAACAATCTATATTTGGGTTACAAACCTTGTCTCCTGGTTCTGGTTGGTCATCTGTATTCCTTTCAAAGGGACTTACGTTTGTCCAGGAATGAACAATTCTCAGCCCTGCAGATCTTATTGAATTCCAGTTATCACACTTAATCTGTGTGATTGATGATGAAGGATTATCATAGCGTGTCTACAGGACCAGAACATACGCATTCACGTATATTTGCATGGAACTTTGATATTATACATATTAATACAACTTGAACTAGAGAAAATTCACGGCTGCTTGCTAACTTCTTGCGTTGGTTTCCTTTTGGTGTTTAGGCATATCGTAAGCTTGCCAAAGAATACCATCCGGATAAGAATCCAAATGCAGGTGACAAGGTATGAATTGTTTTGCTTGCAACTTGCTTCTGAAACATATTTTGCACCATATACTGAGCTACATGCAATTGTGAATAAACTAGCCTATGAATGTTTAGCCCATGGATTTAGGAATTGACAGAATTTCAGTCCTTGCCATAAAATAAAAAGTGTTCAGTTTGGGGAGATGTCCGAGTTCAAATCTAAATCCTAAAATTCAGCAAGCCAAATTCTAGGAACTACTTGCTCTGAGCTTTTATAAGCATAAAGTAATACTAGGGAATGAAAATAATCAAGGTTTTTTTTAAAATGCTTCTCTCTTTCTTTAGTTCAAGGAAATCAGCTTTGCCTACGAAGTTCTCTCAAACCCCGAGAAACGTGAATTATACGACCGATATGGAGAACAAGGCCTTCGGGAAGGTAGTGGCGGAAGCGGAGGAATGGACGATATATTCTCCCACATATTTGGTGGGAGCCTTTTCGGTTTCATGGGTAATCAGAATAGAAGTCGTAATGGAAGAAGGCGAGGCGAAGATATGATGCACCCACTTAAGTAAGTACTAAGCTGGTGTCCTTTCGTTGAAAACGTCTTTCATTCACGATATTTTTTTCAGAAAATGGGAAGATCCAAGTCCTAGTTGAAACTTTATTATTAAAATATCCACATTTGACTTCAGGATTAGTGACAGTGCTTGAAACCTGTGCTGCAGAATCTATAGAAGATATGCTCATTCCTGAATTTGCACAAAGAAAAGTAATTATTTGATGCCTTCCAGTGTAAACGTAACTGTGTTGGTGCAAGGCAATCACTGTAAGAGAGCCTCTTTTGGTTTGGATTATGCCCTGTGCTCAGCAGTTCTTACCAAGCTATCTCTGACTGTGTGGTGTTTTTTTTTTTAAAAAAAATCTAAGTTAGGATTTTAATCCTACTTGAAGAATTCAACCTTAGATTTGTAGGTAGGAAAATAATTGCTGCAAAATAGTTATTGCATAGCTTTTACAATATGTATTTAGAATAACCTAATAGAGATAAACGTGATAACATAATTTAAAGTGGGAAATGACTTTCCATCTTCATCATAACTATAAATGTAACTTACCTTCTCTTAAAATGCAACAAATGATCTCTTCTTCCCATCTCTTATGCTAAAAAAATCCTTAAAGCCTCATCATTAAGTCCTGATGTCAGCAAAAATCCATTAAAATTTGCCAAGGATACCATCTATTTTAATATTGATCCAATAAACCAACTCTGTATTCCTTCCTTTTATTTCTAACAATTCTTAACCTTTAGTCTGTTCAAATAATAACCTGGAACTTGATTTCTTTTCATTTCCTCTCCCCCCACAATATTCTTCAAAACTTTAACAAGCTCTTTTGTAAATCCAATATGGAAAAATTATATTATTTTCTTGGTTTATTGTTTGATTATTCTTTTTAATTAAGATATCATGGCTTGCTTTTTCTTTTATCTATTAATGTTCTTTGCATACCTTCATCAGGTTTTTTTGTCTAGTCTCTGAAGAGAATCTTAGAAAATGGAAAATTAATATAGGAAAACATTATGGTATCCTGATTAAGATCATTTACACTTTAAAAGTACATTTACACTTTAAAAATACTATCTTTGACCCTACTTTGGGCTCTAGAGTATAAATCTTTAAAATACTTTCTGGGGATTTTTATTTCGTTATTCGTTTGGTACTTTGAGGCAAGCGATTTAAAAACAAGGTCATGCCACTGAATCACCGTAGAATTGAGTATTAAAGCCTTGCCCACGCTTCAGGTAATAAGATACATTTCCTGAGGGAGGGAAACTGCAGCTAGGAACAGCCCAGCGAGCTATAATAACAAACTGGAGCCTATACTTCTACCAGTTGATGCATTAAAAAATATGGTTCGGCATCTCTTTATAATAAAAACAGCCAAATATTAGAAGTTGATCCAGGCAAGGCAAAGCATTCAGTGTATAGGACCAAGTAGGCAGCCATCAAGGTGAGGGCGTGACCCGATAAAAGCGCACCCGACAACAGCGCGCCAACAAAACCGTGTCAATAAAGCTATGATGTCGATAGCGCGCCCACAAAGGCGCCGACAGAAGCGCCATTACAGTTAGGGTAAGGGTTAGGTTCAGGGTTAGGTTCAGGTTTAAGTTTACGGTTAGGTTCAGGGTTAGGTTAGGGTTACCTTTAGGGTTAAGTTAAGAGCACGCTGTTGTCGCGCTTCTGTCCTCATTATTTGGCACAATTTCGAATGCGGTTTTGTCGGCGCGATTTTGTCGAGCGCGCATTTGTGGGTGAACCAGGTGAGGGCACATTTGAAATGTTGTGTAATGGGTGCTACTTGTGAGTGGCTGACACAATAAGCTGCATATTTGCAAGTGAGCTTCAGGGTGAGGGAGGCCAATCATGAAAACTTCATCTACTAGAAGATGAGCATTTCATTTGAACTTCCCTGAGGCTGGTGGTTGGAGCTGTTTTCTACAAGGGGGGAGTCAGAGAGACAAAGAGGACTAGGTAGTAGCCCACGTGCCTAACGGCGCGTGAATCTTATGTATAAACTGAAATAACAATAATACATTCTGGATTAGTGCACTTGAGATTGTGATTGAGATTGTGGTACCTTGCTCAACAGTAGTAACTGTGAGAGGGATCTTGGAGTCCTAGTGGACAACCATTTAAATATGAGCCAGCAATGTGCAGCAGCTGCCAAAAAAGCCAACACAGTTTTAGGCTGCCTAAACAGAGGGCTAGAATCAAGATCACGTGAAGTGTTAATACCACTTTATAATGCCTTGGTAAGGCCACACTTGGAATACTGCATTCAGTTTTGGTCGCCACGATGTAGAAAAGATGTGGAGACTCTAGAAAGAGTGCAGAGAAGAGCAACAAAAGAGGATTAGGGGACTCGAGGCTAAAACATATGAAGAACGGTTGCAGGAACTGG